ATATAAACAATATATGAAAATGACATTGGGCATATGGTAAACTATAGTTATACTTGCACGGAGCACCGTCAAGCATCAACTAACCTTCCAATTTTTTGAATGTTACATACAAAACTTAAATAGTGTATTATATGTTTAAACAGCCTGACGTGGCTATAGTGCATCTTGGCACGCTTGGGAGACTCCTATGACTCGCTATGCCATGTCCCAGCCCACATTAGCTAAATGTCAGTCGATTGATTTTCAAATTTGGGTCAATTGATTTTAGGAGTTCATTGGAGTGAGCCGGAGGGAAGGAAGGAGAAGAAAGGGGCTCGTCTGAGGGCAACCCATTATCTATCTTAGAATTTAGGGTGAGAGCGGGGGTGGGATGTCGCCGGAGAAAAAGCCAGACACGGGCGGGGCTAGAGGGATGGCCGAGGATGGCAGCAAGACCGGTGGTTGGGAGCGGTTCCCGGTAGGACGGGGAGGTGAGGCTGCGCGGGAGCGCCGCCGGCCGTAGGTGGTGGTCGCAGGCGGTTTGTCCGGCGGCCTGGGAAGGTGCTAGAGGAAGAAGAGGGCTGCCACCGGTTTGATCTGCATCCAACGGCTAAAAACGATCAACCGACTCAAATTCGAAATTCGGTCGACTGACGGTGTAGCCATTCCTGACCCAGCCCTCTGATTAAGCACTATACTAATACAGCCACGAGAAATGTGCACCCTACCGATCTAATCTCAGGGCAGACGTACGTGCCCGTGTCCGTGTGTATTGGCTGATGCGGTAGCTAGCCGCGTGCTGACGATCCGGCTACAGCTAGAGTCAGTCAGCGCGCGCATGGTTCACGAGCAGCACAACCACCGATCCGCAACAAACACTATTATACACCAGTTCTCTTCCTTCATGCGAGCAATTCCAAAAATCAACACAGGCCGAGCCTGTGTCGTCCCCATCACTCTGATCGCCACTCAGAGACTGCAGTTCCAAAAATCAACACATGCGAGCATGTGTTCTTTGGTCTTTAGCACATAAAAAAACACTACACATGGTTCCCTGCCATCTCATCTCAGAAGAAGAAATTATTGGCCCAGATTGATTTTTCTGCTAAATACCGGCCTATATAGGTGGTGCCAACGGAAGCCTTTGACGCTGCAACATAGCCTTTGTCATTACTCCATATGGGTGCAAGAGCAGTGGCGGCGGCTGTCCTCCCGCTTCTCCTTCTGGTTGTCGCTACCAGCGCCCACGGCGGCGCCCATGGTCGGCGGCCGATAAGCCGGACGAGCTTCCCCAAGGGCTTCGTCTTTGGGACGGCCACCTCGTCCTATCAGGTTCCCACTCGCTGTTACTTCATTGATCCATCATCCATGGATGCCGTAGGTCGTTGGTTTCCCTTCTTACTTCAGCACAATTTGTTAGCATGAAAGCTGTAACATAAGCTGATGCTGCGTGGCCGGACTGTCTTAGAAATACATGGACGGAGCAGGACAAAATGGACCGGAATTCTGAATGGTAGTAACAAGCTCGATCTGAACCCAGCAGTGATTGGCCAATTAACTATCTGCCAATTGTTTCTGGATCTGGTCTCCTCTTACAATTAACTAAAGATACACTCCTAAAGATATCTACATTATGGATTTTTTTGGTTCTGGCATGGTCTTATTACAAATTTGCTGGACATTCACATGCATGCAGTATGAGGGTGGTGCAATGGAGGGGGGCAGGGGACCAAGCATCTGGGACAACTTCACTCACCAGCATCCAGGTATGTATATACATATTCTACATGCAGCCTATATATCTTTTTAGGGATCGAAAGCCATAGAAACTCACATTTTTATTTCACTGCATGAAATGTTCATAGTGTTTAACCATTGGATGGAAGAATCACACACGCACACTTCAAAGTTAATCCAACGCTTGGGAAAACATCGATTTGGATTTAACAAAGTGTTAGGCAACTTATAACCAAGAAACATGGTAATGATATACTATAGATACTACTCACACCTACAAAGCGTAAAATCAAATTTCCCCAACTTCGAATAGGTTAAACACTTTGATTTTACTTGGGAACTATATTTTCATGGTGTCCCTTCCAAGAAAATGGATAAACATGAGCAGAGTGGTCTTTCTCATGAAGGTAAAAACTTTGGCAGATAAAATCGCCGATAAAAGCAATGGGGATGTGGCAGTGGACTCCTATCATCTTTACAAGGTAGGGATAGTTTAGATGTCTTGCCTTTTTACTGTATCTTTTAGATTCTTGTTATACACTCATAGTTGTTGATTAAGATCAAACTGTGATAAGATCTTTGAATTTTAGTTCTCCCAAAAAACTAGGTGAGCAAGTTGGACAGAACAGAGCAAGTTGGGCCGAGGTGACCTCCTCCCCATCCCTTGGGCCGAGGCGACCTCCTCTGGCGCTCCCACGGGCGGCAGGGGAGGAAACCCTAGCCGCCGCCGAACCGCGACCTTCTCCCCATCCCTCCCCTCGCCGCCGCCAGGGCATGCCGGCGGGCGAAGCCCGCCCGGCATGGGCGGCGGCGGGGCGCTTTCTCCTTCTCGCGAGGCGGGATCGCCGTGGGGCGATCTACACTGGCCGGAACGCGGCATTGTGCGGGGCGCGGCGACGCTGGGCTGCCATGGTGGCGGGCGTGGAGGGCTGCACGAGGCGGGCTGCGTGCTAGTGATGGTTATGGCGGCCGGTGGTCGATCTGCCGGATCTGGACGACGCGGGGGCGGTTGCACCTGTGCTAGGCAGAGTCGGGCGAGATCCCCTTCGGGCTGGCATCCGTGGTGCATGCGGTTTTGCTGGTTGCTCGCATGCGGTTTTGCTGGTTGCTCGCCGGATTCGTCTTGCTGCTTGCGCTCGGCCTTGGATCGGCGCCGAGGCAGGTCGGGGAGGCATCCCCAGGGTGCTCGAGATGTGCTATTGGTGGCTGTGCTAGATGTGCAGCTACTGACGGCAGTGGAGTCCGACGGCCCTTCTCCATGGAGGCGGGACATGGCGGTGGTGGTCATCTCCTCCGTCGGAGGTGGTCGGCCTGAGGTTGGGTGGTCGGATCTCCAGATCCGTCATCTAGTCCCGGCTATGAGTCGGGGAAACATGGTTGCCGGTGAAAACCGAGCCGACGGCAGGCGATGGCGGCGTCCTCGCCATTACCTTGATGGAGGCATCGTCGTGTAACTACTGTCGACCCACTCGTGCTGCTCCGGGGAAAACCCTAGGATCTGGTGTTCCAGATCGGGCGATGGCGGCACTGTGGTGTCGTTTCTCTCTTGGGAGCATCGTTTGTGGAGCAGCGCTGGTAGTCAGAGGCAGGAGGTGGAGCGGCTTCGTCTTGCACGGAGCTTCGGTGGAGATGTCAAGTCATGCCTGACCGACAGGTGCTACGCTTTGTCATGCCTGGTCGGCAGGTGCTACGCATGACAAATCTTCCAAGGACTTCAAGTTGTGTCGGCTGCTGGTACCTGGCAGCATGGCGCTGAGGTGTATCAGTGGTGACCGCGACGTGCTCAGTTGTTTGCGCGCAGGGAGGAGGTGCCGTTGGGCGCCGTGGTGGCGTCGACGATAGCTTGACCGAGCAAGGTTGATGCATCAGTACAGTTCTGAAGATGGAGCGGTGGCAGTTGGCGGCGGCGGCCTCTGAGAGCACGCCGGACCAGTGTGTGCCCCAGACCCGGCAAGTGGCTAGGTTGGGGTCTCAGGTCTTAGATATTAGGCTTGGCCGCGATGTCTGTTTGGTATTAGGCCTAGGCTATCTGCGCCCCTTCATCAACTGGATAGGTGTAGCGACAGTTTGTTGCTTAGACGGCGGCTTTAGTCTTACTGTTGTATGACTTTGTAAGGTCTTGTGAGAATAATTAATAAAATGGCCGTATGCATCGCCCAGATGCAGAGGCCGGGGGTCATCCTCCTTTTCTAAAAGAAAAACTAGGTAGTACTGATCCTAATATGCAAAAAACGCAGGAAGATGTGCGCCTCATGAAGGATATGGGAATGGATGCATATAGGTTCTCCATCTCATGGACAAGAATTTTTCCGGGTATGATATTTTCAGACTTGATATTTCCACTATCATTTTTGTTCCCAAGTAGAATATCTTGCATTATCTTCCCATTTCCTAGTCGATATACGTTCACATCGATCTTAATGTCTTAATGCATAACAGATGGAACTCTGAAAGGTGGAGTCAACAAAGAAGGCATCAAGTATTACAACAACTTGATCGATGAGCTACTGTCCAAAGGTAGACTGTCTAAATGCAGTATTTAATTAGGTTTATTATCTAATGTATCAAACCGCATGGAACATCAGATCCTTTCTTTATTTCGTCAGACAATGCTTAAGAATTTGAAATCTTTATATATCTGCAGGGGTGCAGCCATTTGTGACCCTTTTTCACTGGGACTCTCCACAGGGATTGGAAGATAAATATGGAGGATTCCTTAGCCCTAATATCATGTAAGTCAACCACTATTTATCTCCTTTAAAAAAACACTATCTATCCCTTAATAACTTGTATATGTTAACATGCAAAATAATCAACTGACATTGGTGCAGAAATGACTACAAAGATTATGCTGAAGTCTGCTTCAGAGAATTAGGAGACCGGGTGAAGCACTGGATCACGTTCAATGAGCCCTGGTCCTTCTGTGTCACGGGTTATGAAAGGGGCGTATTTGCGCCGGGCCGGTGTTCGCCCTGGGAGAAGGCAAACTGCAGCGCCAGGGATTCATGAAGGGAGCCATACACTGTAGCCCACCATCAGATACTCGCTCATGCGGCTGCCGCTACGTTGTATAAACAGAAATATAAGGTGACTGACCCAACCCTTCATCATACTATATATCATGCAGTTGCGGTTCATCCATGAACGTGATTGACATGATGCACATCGATGAAATGCAGGCTGTGCAGAAAGGGGAGATCGGAATAAGTTTGGTGTCAAACTGGTTCACTCCCTTGTCCCGTTCAAAATCAAGCGTCATCGCAACGAGACGCGCCATAGAATTCATGCTTGGATGGTAAACTCTCTGCATGTGTTTCCTGTGTAATTTCATTTTAGAAGTCTAGAAAAGAATGCAGATTGATCTCACCAAGAATAAAACCCCTGTAGGTTTTTGGACCCGCTCGCCAGAGAAGACTACCCTGGGAGCATGAAAGAATTGGTCGGAAACCGTCTGCCGCAGTTCACCAAAAAACAGTCTGCATTGGTGAAGGGTTCATTCGACTTCATTGGAATCAACTACTATACTACAAATTACGCGGGTAAGCTTCCTCTATCAAATGGCCTGAGGAACAGCTACTCTACCGATGCTCAAGCTAATCTGACCGGTGAGTCGATCACGCTCAGTCAATGATCAATCTGTCTCTGTTCTCATTTGCCAACCTTACAATGTTAAGGAAATGATCCCGTTTTAGAAAAACATGCTAACATTGCCCAATTATGTCAGGTGTTAGAAATGGTGTCCCCATAGGTCCTCAGGTAACTTGCAACTTTTACCCACATAAACAAGTAAATCTTCCATCAATTTTCTCCCCCTTGTCTCGTGGTTTAGTTGACCGAGTAGATGATGTGCATTTAGGCTGCTTCACCTTGGCTCTATGTCTACCCTAAAGGGTTCCATGATCTTCTACTTTATCTCAAGGAGAAGTACCGGAATCCGACCATCTACATCACTGAAAACGGGCAAGTACATTTTCCTCCCCTGGAAATGGTGAGCAACCAGGTTGAAACTTATTTGAAAAAGTATTTGTCTTCTCTCTATATTTTAGGCGTCGATGAAGCCAACAACAAGAGCCTACCACTCGAGGAAGCCCTCAAGGACGATGCGAGGATAGAGTACCACCACATGCACCTTGATGCCTTGCTGAGTGCGATCAGGTCGGAGCTGGTACCTTGACTTTTACAATCCAACTATGTCAAGACATCAACTAAGAGTTCATTGTGCTTATTTTACTGTAGGGATGGGGCGAACGTGAAGGGGTACTTCGCATGGTCTTTGTTAGACAACTTCGAGTGGGCGAGCGGGTACACGGTGCGCTTCGGTTTACACTTCGTGGACTATGACCATGGTCGGAAGCAATACCCCAAGCGCTCCGCCGGCTGGTTCAAGAGGTTTCTCAACAGATGATTTCACAGATCAACTAGAAACCAACGAGAAATTATGGATTCATTGTATTTGGGGGTTTACTTCAGTACACCCCTTTTAACTGAAACATCGGTGGAGATTAAAACATACCCCTTCATATGTGAGGGGCCATTTTGGAATAAAGGAATTTTGCAGGAATTTCACGGGAATGAGGTTCTATAGGAAATTTTTCCAATGGGCCCTTTGGATTGTAGTATTGACTTTGAAATTTTCTATTGGAATCCTTCCTTCCATTCACATGTTGGAGGATTCTTAACATTTTCTAAAACCTCATGTTTTCACTTCCTTTGAGAAGTCCATGGATGCCGTTCCCTTCTTGGAGGCACTATCGTGGTAATCCTTTGTCTTTCGTGGTGCTTCAGGTGAAAACCCGGATCCTTTGAATTGAATGGTGGCGGCACTCCGGTGTTGTGCCCTTCTTGAAGGCATCATTTGGAGTCCATCTCCTTCGTGGTTCGGCTTCGTCTCTTCGCAGTGACGCAGTCACGGTTGAGAACTCTGTCGACTCTTAGTGATGCTCTATTTGTCCACTTGTTATTCGCTTTGAGTTGTCTGGGATGGTGTTGTTGTTCGTCGGTGTGTGTTTGTGGTGACCTGTTGTATGCGACTGTCAGTATGTAGCTGGTAGAAGGGAAAGAAGCACACTCGCCGTTGCACGCCTCTATCACCAAGAAAAAACCGCCACAAGAAGAATAAACTATTTTTACTATATCTAAGTCGCATGAGATTTTTTATCAAAAGATTAGTCGATGGAGATAGACTTAGAAAATAAGTATGGTTCAATGTCTAACAAAAAAAAGTGCGTTGCAAGAAACCGCACGTTCCTCTCCCTTGCAAATGCACCAAGTTGACCACGCTTTGGCTGCCTTCATGATCACATCAATCCAGTTGACTTATTTTGGCCGAGATCATCCAGCTGACTTGCACTCCTACAAATAGCTGATCAACATTCTCTGCTACTCACTCGTAGCAGTTCCATCGGTAAACATGGCCAACCACGTTGCACTTCTACTACTGCTGTCTCTCCAGCTCACCGCGTCATTCTCTCAGCAGCCCGGCGACGACCCGGACTTCCGGACGCTCCTCAAGATCAAGGAGCAGTTCGGCGACCAGGCCGCGCTGGTGTCCTTGCTGCCCGGCACCGACCAGTGCAACTGGCCGTACGCCTACTGCAACGAGCACCGCCGCGTCGTCGCCATCTTCCTCCAGAACGTCAACATCACCTCCACGATCCCACCGGCCATCGGCGACCTCGACCAGCTCCACACCATCAGCATCCACAGCATCCCGGGCCTCCATGGCCCCATCCCGGACACGTTCGGCAAACTCTCGCACCTCTCCATCTTCAACATCATGCGCACCTCCGTCTCGGGCTCCCTGCCGGCGTCGCTCTCCCGCACAAACCTCACCTCCGTCAGCTTCTTCGGCAACAAGCTGACCGGAAGGATCCCCAGGTCGCTCCAGGACCTGCCTTATCTGACCTACTTCGACGCCTCGAACAACCGCCTCGTCGGCCGGATCCCGCCGCGGCTGGTGAGCAACGGCGCGCGCGACAGGCCGCTGGGCCTGACGCTGACAAACAACCGGCTGACGGGGCCGATTCCCCGGACGTACGCGCGCGAGAGATACTTCATGAACTTCCGGGTGGCCAACAACAGGCTAACGGGGGACGCGGCGTTCCTGTTCGGCCGGCGGAACACGGTGTACGATATCGACCTGTCCGGGAACAGGCTGCGGTTCAACCTGACCGGCGTGGTGATGCCGGAGAACCTGCTGTTCCTCAACATGAGCCGCAACCGGATCTACGGCGGCGTGCCGGCGTCGCTGACGCAGTTGAAGAAGTTGACCACGCTCGACCTCAGCTACAACCAGCTCTGCGGGGAGATACCCACCGGCGGGAACATGGGTCGGTTCAAGCCGGAGACCTACGAGCACAACAAGTGCCTGTGCGGGACCCCATTGCCGACGTGCTAGGTCGTGGGTCGCTGAGGCTGATCGACCTGTCACGTTCTTCTGTTTTGCGGTGATACTCCATTGCAATGAATAATTTCGGGCTTCCATCCGAGAGCTACTACTCTCTTTTTTTAGTGGAAGAGTTCCTACTTTCTATCAGTTCGGTATATACGCAAACCCACGTTCAACACTTCTGCTTTGAGTCAATTACACCACAAGTGTCTGAACTTGACGAGAAAACTCAGTTTGATGCTAAAACTTGCGGCATACATTGAACTGGTGACAGAACTTGGCTTGAGCATGCATCTACGATGCTAACCACGCTTGTATACGTACATGGTGCTGATATGGTGCGCCAGCATGGCACAGGGCCCACCCGTAAGTGACCGGGAGACAGACACAAGGGCATGTGACCTGGTTTTTCTGCGAAAACATGGCTGATTTTTTTTTCAAGAAATAGCCCCTTGAAATTTTTTTCTTATAAAATGAAAGGTCATCATTGGGCCCCGCCCGTTAGTATGCATTACAAGGAGGATATTAATATGCAAAATATTTGCGGCGCCCCGACTTGTGGTAATCTGGCCAGCCGTACTATCCATCAGACCAATTACGATATGATATTCATTTTGGCAGCTTCTTTTTAGCAAATTCATTTTGGATAGCTTTTTTTAGTCTAAACACACTCGCTTTATTGATCAATGATGTTCATAGAGATACAATTCAAGTCTGGGGGGGTTTAAGAGCCACACATGGCGCCCCGGTCCAGACCAAAAGCGTGCTTAGCAAGGCTATGGGCCTCTTGATTTGATACTCTACCTTCAAAGATGAAGGCACAACTCTGAAAAAGAGTAGTAATCTCTCTAATCTCCTTCACAATACTCGCATTCATTCCACCAGTGCCAAGATTTATATCATGAACAACATTTTTTGCAATCCGAAGCAATCTCCACATGAGTTAATGACAGATCCAACGCCAGAGCCATTGCTTCGCGACATGTCAGAGTCTCTAGAGTTGTTGGATCGGTAATCCCAACACTCCTGATCACTGAAGAGCCCATGTACATCCCGCCCTTGTCTCTGCATACAGCGCTATAGGATCCCTCGCCGTTTGCTCTGTTGACTGCGCCATCAACTCTTATTTTTGCAAAACCATGAGGAGACCGGATCCATCTAACCCGGCTTCTGGGAGCAGCCACCGGGCGGTCATCTCTTTTGGTTTGCAATATTCCAACTCTCTGAGGTACTTGGTCACAAACATATGTGTGGCCATTGGACTTTGGAATATATTTTCATGGAGTGCCTGCCGTCTCGCAAACCAGATAGCCCATAGTGTGACCAAGACTTGAGTGAACACCTCGGCAGGGAGAGCCTCTATCAGAGCGAAGATCCACCTCTTAGCATCCGGTTTCGTGGTCTCCTCCAAGACTTGGAACGTCTCCATAGGTTGAAGCGTCCAAACGGACCTGGCCGCATTGCAGTGGAGTAATGAGTGCTGCCATGAATCAACAGCTCCACAGATACCACAAGTGTCCACCGTTGACATATTCCGCTGCTGGAGGAGATCAACTATAGGGATGGACTGCTGCGTGATAACCCACAATTATAGGGGATCGCAACAGTTTTCGAGGGTAGAGTATTCAACCCAAATTTATTGATTCGACACAAGGGGAGCCAAAGAATATTCTCAAGTATTAGCAGCTGAGTTGTCAATTCAACCACACCTGAAAACTTAGTATCTGCAGCAAAGTGTTTAGTAGCAAAGTAATATGATAGTGGTGGTAACGGTAACAAAAGTAAAGACACAAAAGTAATGTTTTTGATATTTTTGTAGTGATTGTAACAATAACAACGGAAAAGTAAATAAGCGAGAACCGGTATATGGAAAACTCGTAGGCACCGGATCAATGATGGATAATTCTGCCGGATGTGGTTCATCATGTAATAGTCATAACATAGGGTGACACGGAACTAGCTCCAGTTCATCAATGTAATGTAGGCATGTATTCCGAATATAGTCATACGTGCTTATGGAAAAGAACTTGCATGACATCTTTTGTCCTACCCTCCCGTGGCAGTGGGGTCCTATTGGAAACTAAGGGATATTAAGGCCTCCTTTTAATAGAGAACCGGAACAAAGCATTAGCACATAGTGAATACATTAACTCCTCAAACTAGGGTCATCACCGGGAGTGGTTCCGATTATTGTCACTTCGGGGTTGTCGGATCATAACACATAGTAGGTGACTATAGATTTGCAAGATAGGATCAAGAACTCGCATATATTCATGAAAACATAATAGGTTCAGATCTGAAATCATGGTACTCGGGCCCTAGTGACAAGCATTAAGCATAGCAATGTCATAGCAACATCAATATTAGAACATAGTGGATACTATGGATCAAACCCTAACAAAACTAACTCGATTACATGATAAATCTCATCCAACCCATCACCGTCCAGCAAGCCTACGATGGAATTACTCACGCACGGTGGTGAGCATCATGAAATTAGTGATGGAGGATGGTTGATGATGACGACGGCGACAAATCCCCCTCTTCGGAGCCCCGAACGGACTCCAAATCAGCCCTCCCGAGAGAGATTAGGGCTTGGCGGCGGCTCCGTATCATAAAACGCGATGATTTCTTCTCTCTGATTTTTTTCTCCCTGAAAGCCAATATATGGAGTTGGAGATGGCGTCGGAGGGCCACCAGGGGGCCCACGAGGTAGGGGGGCACGCCCAGGGGGGGCACCCTCCACCCTCGTGGACAGGGTGTGGGCCCCCTGGTCTTCATCTTTGGCGAGGATTTTTTTATTAATTATCCTAAGATATTCCGTGGAGTTTCAATTCGTTCCGAGAACTTTTATTTTCTGCACATAAAACAACACCATGGCAATTCTGCTGAAAACAGCGTTAGTCCGGGTTAGTTCCATTCAAATCATACAAGTTAGAGTCCAAAACAAGGGCAAAAGTGTTTGTAAAAGTAGATACGACGGAGACGTATCAACTATCCCAAGCTTAAACCCTTGCTTGTCCTCAAGCAATTCAGTTGACAAACTGATAGAGAAAAAGAAAAAATTTTACAAACTCTGTTTGCTCTTGTTGTTGTAAACATGAAAAGCCAACATTCAAGTTTCAGCAAATATTATGAACTAACCATACTAACAATAACACAAAGGTCTCACAATTACTCATATCAATAGCATAATCAGCTAGCGAGCTATAATAACAAAACTCAGATGACAACACTTTCTCAAAATAATCATAACATGATATAACAAAATGGTATCTCGCTAGCCCTTTCTGAGACCGCAAAACATAAATGCAGAGCACCTTCAAAGATCAAGGACTGACTAAACATTGTAATTCATGGTAAAAGAGATCCAGTCAAGTCATACCCAATATAAACCAATAATAATGAATGCAAACGACAGTGTGCTCTTCAGCAGGTGCTTTTTAATAAGAAGGGTGATGACTCAACATAAAAGTAAATAGATAGGCCCTTCGCAGAGGGAAGCAGGGATTTGTAGAGGTGTCAGTGCTTGGTTTTTAAAATAGAGATTGAATAACATTTTGAGCGGCATACTTTTGTTTTCAACGCAACAACTATGAGATGACGATATCTTCCATGCTAAACAAATTATAGGCGGTTCCCAAACATAATGGTAAAGTTTATACTCCCCCTCCTCCACAAGCATCAATCCATGGCTTGCTCGAAACAACGAGTGCCTCCAACATTCAATGGGTCCCAGGGGGAGTTTTGTTTGCAGTTATTTTGATTTAGTTTGCATAAAGCATGGGACTAGGCATCCCGGCGACCAGCCATTTTCTCGTGAATGAGGAGCGGAGTCCACTCCTCTTGAGAATAACCGCCTAACATGGAAGATAAGGACAACCCTAGTTGGAACATGAGCTGCTCGAGTATACAAAACAGAATTTCATTTGAAGGTTTGGAGTTTGGCACATACAAATTTACTTGGAATGGCAGGTAAATACCGCATATAGGAAGGTATAGTGGACTCATATGGAACAACTTTGGGGTTTAAGGAGTTTGGATGCACAAGTAGTGTTCCTGCTTAGTACAGGTGAAGGCTAGCAAAAGACTAGGAAGCGACCAACTGGGAGAGCGACAACAGTCGTAAACATGCATTAAAATTAATTTACACCGAATACAAGCATGAGTAGGATATAATCTATCATGAACATAAATATCATGAAGGCTATGTTGATTTGATTCAACTACATGCGTGAACATGTGCCAAGTCTAGTCACTCAATTCATTTAAAGGAGGATACCATCCCATCATACCACATCATGATCATTCTAATAGCATGTTGGTACGCAAGGTAAACCATTATAACTCATAGCTAATCAAGCATGGCACAAGCAACTATAATCTCTAAATGTCATTGCAAATATGCTTACTTCATAATAGCTAACTCAAGAACGATGAATCATCATATTTACAAAAAAAGAGAGGTCGAGTTCATACCAGCTTTTCTCATCCCAATAAGTCCATCATATATCATCATTATTGCCTTTCACTTGCACGACCGAACGAAGTGTATAATAGTAAGAGTGCACGTGCATTGGACTAAGCTGGAATCTGCAAGCATTCAACTCAAGAGAGAAGACAAGTAATATGGGATCTAAGTTAAATAAACAATCATGCATATAAGAGCCACTAAGCATTTTCAATATGGTCTTCTCGACCCCCAAAGAAAGGAAAAGAAAAACTATTTACACGGGAAAGCTCCCAACAAGCAAAAGAAGAACGGGAAATATTTTTGGGTTTTCCTTTTTAATTACTACAGCAAAGAAATAAACTACTACTAATTTTTTTTGGTTTTCTAAGGTTTATTAAACACACAAGAAGAAAGCAGGAAAAGAAAATAATCTAGCATGGATATTACAGTGAAAGAGTATGAACACCGACATCTGGCAATGAGTGTGTGTGAATATAAATGTAATGTCGGTGGGAAATACGTACTCCCCCAAGCTTAGGCTTTTGGCCTAAGTTGG